CAGTTTGACCTCCACCTGTACGAGGAGACGGGGGGAGTGTTGGAGATCACCGTGTGGGACAAAGACACGGGGAGGAGGGACGACTTCATCGGACGGTCAGTTTGGACTTTTTCTGTTCTCTCTTCTCCTGTGAACACACACACACACACACACACACACACACACACACACACACACCCCCACACACACACACCACACAACACACACACACCCACACACACCCCCACACACCCCCACACACACACACACACACACACACACACACACACACACACACACACACACACACACACACACACACACACACACACACACACACACACACACAAAAAAAACTCACAAAATATAAAATACAATAACTAAATAAAAATAAATAGATAAGCATGAAAAAATAAAAGTACATTTGAGAAGAGTAGTATCAAAACAAAAAAAGAATAATACAAAATGACGAGACAGACAAATAAAATAAATAAATAAATGAACAAACATTAACTGGATTGAAAGTCGTTATGTGTATACAACACAAGTAAATAGGAGAAACAGTATAACCTGTAAAAGAGAGAGGGGGGGCTGGACAGGCACGAGAGGAAAGGATCGTAATAATAGCCATGATCGTTATAATACTATAATACTGTAATACTATACTACTTTAATACTATACTACTATAATACTATACTACTATAATACTGTAATACTATACTACTATAATACTATACTACTATAATACTGTAATACTATAATACTATACTACTATAATACTGTAATACTATACTACTATAATACTGTAATACTATACTACTATAATACTGTAATACTATAATACTATACTACTATAATACTGTAATACTATACTACTATAATACTGTAATACTATACTATTTTAATACTATACTACTATAATACTATACTACTATAATACTGTAATACTATACTACTATAATACCGTAATACTATAATACTGTAATACTATACTACTATACTACTATAATACTATACTACTATAATACTGTAATACTATAATACTGTAATACTATACTACTATAATACTATACTACTATAATACTGTAATACTATACTACTATAATGCTGTAATACTATACTACTGTAATACTATACTACTTTAATACTATACTACTATAATACTATACTACTATACTACTATAATACTGTAATACTATACTACTATAATACTGTAATACTATACTATTTTAATACTATACTACTATAATACTATACTACTATAATACTGTAATACTATACTATTTTAATACTATACTACTATAATACTATACTACTATAATACTGTAATACTATACTACTATAATACTGTAATACTATACTACTATAATACTGTAATACTGTAATACTATACTACTATAATACTGTAATACTATACTACTATAATACTGTAATACTGTAATACTATACTACTATAATACCGTAATACTATAATACTATAATACTGTAATACTATACTACTATACTACTATAATACTATAATACTGTAATACTATAATACTGTAATACTATACTACTATAATACTGTAATACTATACTACTATAATACTGTAATACTATACTACTATAATACTATAACACTGTACTACTATAATACTATACTACTTTAATACTATAATACTTTAATACTATACTACAATAATACTATAATACTGTACTACTGTACTACTATACTACTATAATACTATAACACTATAATACTATACTATTATAATACTATAACACTGTACTACTATAATACTATACTACTTTAATACTATAATACTATAATACTTTACTACTGTAATACAATACTACTGTAATACTATACTACTATAATACTGTACCACTATAATACTATACTACAATAATAATATAATACTGTGCTACTGTAATACTATACTACTGTAATACTATACTACTATAATACTGTACTACTGTAATACTATACTACAATAATACTATAATACTATACTACTGTAATACTACAATACTGCACTACTAAAATACTATACTACTGTAATACAGTAATACTGTAATACTATACTACTATAATACTGTAATACTATACTACCATACTACCATACTACTATAATACTATAATACTATACTACTATAATACTATAATACCTCGTCAGGTGAAAATTTCCAGTGAGTGTAAAACTCTTCATTATTTTATTATTTAAAGAGGTGGCAAAGCTTGCAGGCTAACATGAAGCTAGCAAGCTAACATGAAGCTAGCAAGCTAACATGAAGCAAGCAGGCTAACATGAAGCTAGCAAGCTAACATGAAGCTAGCAGGCTAACATGAAGCTAGCAGGCTAACATGAAGCCATGAAGCTAGCAGGCTAACATGAAGCTAGCAAGCTAACATGAAGCTAGCAGGCTAACATGAAGCTTGCAGGCCAACATGAAGCTAGCAGGCTAACAGCAGGCTAACATGAAGCAAGCAGGCTAACATGAAGCTATCAGGCTAACATGAAGCTAGCAGGCTAACATGAAGCTAGCAGGCTAACATGGAGCTATCAGGCTAACATGAAGCTAGCAGGCTAACATGAAGCTATCAGGCCAACATGAAACTAGCAGGCCAACATGAAGCTAGCAGGCTAACTTGAAGCTAGCAGGCTAACATAAAGCTATCAGGCTAACATGAAGCTAGCAGGCTAACATGAAGCTATCAGGCTAACATGAAGCTAGCAGGCTAACACGAAGCTAGCAGGCTAACATGAAGCTAGCAGGGTAACACAAAGCTAGCAGGCTAACATGAAGCTAGCAGGCTAACATGAAGCTAGCAGGCTAACATGGACATTTTCTTATTTAAAGATGATTTATATTGATCTCGTTGTTTGTTCTGCGTCCGTCCTCCAGCTGTCAGTTGGACCTCTCCACCCTGACAAAGGAGCACACTCATCACCTGGAGCTGCAGCTGGAGGAGTCCCGGGGATACGTGGTGCTTCTGGTCACGCTGACCGCCTCGGCTCACGTCTCCATCGCCGACCTGTCCGTCACGCCGCTGGACGACTCGCAGGAGCGCCGCGAGATCCTCAAACGATACGTAAGCTAACCCGGACGATGATGATGACACTGCTGATCATCCTGTGAGGACGTGATGGGTAACGTCCCGTTTCTCTCCTGCAGGGCGTGCTGAGGTCCTTCTCCAACCTGAAGGACGTGGGCATCGTGCAGGTGAAGGTGATGAGAGCTGAAGGCCTCATGGCTGCAGACGTGACGGGTAAAAACTAAAGAAACCTTTACGAGCTCATCCTGCTTTATTTGTAAATTTTATTTCATTCAAACAAACAATAAAGTTAAGAAAAACAAACAAACATCAAATCTCAAATGTTGAATGAAAAGGAGCAAAAAGAAGACTAATCTTATATCTGCCCCTCTTTCACAAAGCATTCATTAAAACAAAACAAAACAAAACACTTCATTTATAAACTATTACAATTCAAATAAATTGGCTACATTTGACTTTTGACATCCTCTAATAAACGTTAGACGCCCGATGTCTCCTTAAACGTCTCTCATGTCTGCAGGAATCTCGACTTCAGACACTTCAGATCCTGTTCTGTATTTTAAACCTGCAGAATGAAGCTACAGCCTCCTTAACGAGAACATGAACCAATCACAGCTCAGAACAAGTGGAGATCCAACATTTAAGAAGGCTGCACAAATTCAAGTTTTAAAACCCAAAGCTTATCAGAATCAGAATCAGAATCAGAATCAGATCAGAATCAGAATCAGAATCAGGATCAGGAATCAGGATCAGGATCAGGATCAGAATCAGGATCAGAATCAGAATCAGAATCAGGATCAGAATCAGAATCAGGATCAGAATCAGGATCAGGATCAGGACTTGGTGACTTGACTTGGTGTATTGGTGCTAAACAATTAAGAAGGAAATAAATCAGAACTAACAACAACTTAAATAATACAGAATAAGAAGATATTACAATATATAAAATATAGAGACGTATTTCTTCTTCTCCGTGTCTTCCAGGTAAGAGCGACCCGTTCTGCGTGCTGGAGCTGAACAACGACCGACTACAAACTCACACGGTCTACAAGAACCTGAACCCGGAGTGGAACAAAGCCTTCACTTTGTGAGTGAGACGCAGACACGCGATGACTCCACCTCCACCTCCACCTTCTTCTTCTTCTTCTTTGTTTTTGTTTTGTGTTTGTTCAAAACGTTATTTTTACCTTTAAGAGGAGATCATATATATTTTATTTTCCCCTCGGGGGAATGTTCCTTCGACTCCGTCCGGCTGAAATTTACAATAAGTAGAGAATACAGAACACATCCACAGAATGAAAAAGACGAGGGAAAAATAAGTCACAGACATTAAATCCAGGGCGCACGCTTGTCCACACGTACATATTCGGTTATGGCGGTATTTACAGACGAGTATTTTACTGATGTTGAGCAGGTAAGACTTCTATTACACAGGTAACAAACTGTTCATTATTTATTATTTGCTTTAGATTAATTTATAGTTTTATGAGAGTGCACCAAACCAAATTCCTCCGATCGTTTTTTTTTTTTTTTTAATTTACATTTTTATTCAGAGCTAAATTGAAACATGTTTTGCAGCCAGTCAAAGTTTCAAATGTTTTTTTCAGAAAGTAAAGAGAGACAATAAAACAGGTGTAAGACACAGCTGTCTAAACATTCTTATAACATGAGGTGAGACAAATAAACATTTTGTAAAAGAAAATTCAAAGCTTGGCAAAGACATTGTGAGTAAATGTAATATGCAGAGACGAGTAAGCAAATAAGATTGTTGTCGTTTACATATAAATACATGTACATGTCCCCGCTTACATAGATAAACTTAAAAACACATACCTGCACCCAATCAGGCAAACTGATCAGTCAGTGAAAGAAAGTATACCAAAGTTTACAGTCTTAAATCTTCACATACTGAGAAATACTTAAAAAAAAAAAAAAAAAAAAAAAGAGAAGAGGTTACATATTTTTTTAACATTTCTATTCCACTAAATCACAATAAATATTTAAAATTTAAAAAATAAATTGAATGGGGCCCTTTTGAATCCTCAATCACAGGCGTTTGCTTCTCTTTTGGCCTGCTGACTTCTTCTTCTTCTCCATCGTTGCATCTGATCAGAGATGTGGTGACAAGCATCACTTCCTGGATGACTTTAACAGCCTGCTGAGTGATAGAGTGACTGATCGAGGCCCCTCCCCCTCCTCGCTCCTTTAGTGCGGACGTTGCATTTCTTTCCTCTTGAACATTTGTAAAGAACTATCTGAACGCCTCTCATGCAAAAGTCAATAAGAACAGTTGAAACAATAAAAAAGGTGATAAATGTCTCAGTGAGGGGAGATGAACCGCCTTCTTCTCCTCTCTCTCTCTCTCTCTCAGTAACGTGAAGGACATCCACTCGGTGCTGGAGGTGACCGTGTTCGATGAGGACAGAGACCGGAGCGCCGACTTCCTGGGGAAAGTGGTCATTCCTTTATTACACGTGAGTCAGAAATAAAAAAAATGACGTTTTAAAGGTCCAATCAGTGAGATGTGTAGAGAGTGAGATGATAAAGGTATCTTACTCTCTGATCGTTAAGGAAACATGCTATGTTGAAGTGCTGGCTTCTCTGACAACAATGCAGCAGCCAGTATGTCCTCCTTCTAACTTTAGATTCTGCTCCTGAATGCTCTGGATTTGTTTGGACCAGAGAAGGTAGGCGCTTTTAAGGCGACCCCCCCACACGGCCGTTTTGGACGCCCCTCGGTTTGCCAGATATGAGAGCAGTTATCTCATACCAGTTTAAAAGCTGGTCCTAGAGTCCAGACTCATCAGACGAGGCCAAACAGAACAACCAAAGCTAGCACTGCCCTCTAGTGGCCGTTACAGCATACTGTCTCTTTAAAAACTCAAAACAAACGACTGGAGCAGTGACAGACAGAAGAGAAAATCTGTTCTTCGTCTGAAATGTGAATAACATGAAAGTGTAAATGTTTTAAAGGCGACAGAAGATTTGAAGTGTTAGAACCATCAGAACCTGAGCACACTTGAACTTTATAAATCACGTTTTTGTTTGCTGTCAGGTCCGTAACGGGGAGCAGAAGAGCTACATGCTGAAAAATAAAGAGCTGACAGCGCAGACTAAAGGACACATCTACCTGGAGATAGACGTCATCTACAACACGGTGAGTAAACAAAGAAGGAGAGATCAGAACTAAACCTTCAGAGTCTGTGACCAGGAACGGGCCATAAAACATGACCTGAGTTTCAGAGCGCTTCTCTCCGGCGCTTATTGTTGTTAGGTGTCTGAACCTCCACTTCCCTCAGTGATGGCCGTTAGGTCTTAAGCTAAGTTTGCTTAATATTAGATTTTAACAGAATTATATTATTGGAAAATAAAACAAGAAGAGTTGAGTTATGTGCAGGAGCGGTATGAAACCTGAGGGGGGGGGGGTTGTTATGAGGACCTCCCCCAGAAAAAGATCAATTTATTTCAACTGTCTTTTATTGATTTTTGCATTAATTGTAGACATCTCACATTACACAAGTTCATGTAGCAATATTAGCACACAAGCATCCAGCGTCAGTGTGAACAGTACAAACACCCCTTGTAAAGGAAAAAAATAAATAATTATAATCATATAATAATAATAATAATAATAATAAATAAATAATAAAAAATAATAAATACATTTAAAAAATAATAATAATAAAAATAAAATAATAATAATGTAATATAATAAAAATAATAATAATAAAAAATGAATTAAAAAAAAAAAAGTTATGATAGTAATAATAATAAAAAATAAAAAAAATAAAAAATATATATATATACACACACCTACATCCATATACATACGCACATAATCTAAGAAATAAATGAGTAAAGATTATAATAAAGAATGAATAAATAAATGTAAAAATATGTAAAAACAAAACATACAATATAAATAGAAAAGAATGTGAATAGAAGTAAATAAAAAAGATCAAATTAAAGAGCATTTCATTCATGCACCACCAACAACAGACGCCCCCTGGTGGAAGAGACCGGTACCTGCTATGAACATGTAGAATCAGTGTGTGAACATTTCCAGATACATGCTGAAGAAGGCGTCCGCTGGGTCCTGAGAGACAAATGACCTTCATGTACTCAGGCTCTCCCATGAATCCTCTGATCACACCTCAGGTTTATCTGCTGACCTTTCTGAGCTCTGTTGGTCCTAAACTCTCCACCTGCAGGGGCTCCATGCTGTCACCTTCCTCCCTTCCTCCCTTCCTCCCTTCCTCCCTTCCTCCCTCCTTGGTTTTTGAATGAAGTGTTTTGTTTTGTTTTAATGAATGCTTTGTGAAAGAGGAGCAGATATTATAAGATTAGTCTTCTTCCTGCTTCTTTTCATTCAAAATTT